AAGAGTTCAAAAAGGCAAATGGGGACAGATAAGCAGGAGCCTCTCTCAGGTCAGGGTGTCTTCTAGCAAGGCAAGACTAAAGGGCAACAGTGCACAGGCTGCCATAAGACTGGGGGAGAGCCCAGCGTAAGTGTCTCTGAGCAGGGCCCAGACTAGAGGAGACTGGGTTGTCCCTCTGAGGTCGCTCCTGAATGATGGCCACCTGCTGGTCTGCCTTTGTAAATACAGAAAGGACCTTAAGACTGTCCAGATTTCCAAGTGTAACTCCTACTAGGAACTATGAAGGCCTCTGTCCCCTGACTCCTCCACCACAGCTTAAAGAAATGTCTGGGGGAAATGCTCAGATGTCACATCCAACCCCAAGCATTAGGTAACCTATGCCCACTTTTAATCCCTTCAAATCAGGGAACTGTGAGCCAGAAAGAAAGAAGCCTCAGGCAAGACTCAGTGTTTGTCAGAGACAACAGAAGAAAACTAATTTTCTGGCCCCCTGTCTAGTGTTTACTACCCAGTGTATCATTCCAACTGAAAAAAAGTCAATTTCCACTACCTATTGAGTTTTATCTCTTCTAAATCTGGGTTGCTTTTAACACAAACCTGTACAGCCAGATTAGAGCCACTCAGGACTCCTCCAGAAGTTGTGTGTGTGTGTGGTAAGGTAGTGTGGAGACTGAGAGACCCAGTCAAAGCTTGGCATGCCACCAAGGCGCTGGTACCCCTCAAAGGCCAACTATTTTGCAACCATTGTTCTTGGAATTTTACAAGTATTTAATTGATAATTAACATTTGAATTTATGTTTCAGTAAAAGCCTGTGTTTGACTGTACATGGATGAAATGAGAGTCCTGCTTTTCACCCGATCCATTTAGATTTCCATGTTGAATTTTTGGTTTTGTTCTTAACTAGGTTGTAACTAGATGAACAAGTCAGGAGGCAAATTCACAACACCAAAATCCCACCAATTCTTTCATGTATCTACTCTTTTCCTAAAACATTGAATGATAGTATTGGCTCATCAGAGGTTTTTCCATAGTTATGGATAGATAAAAGAATACTGGGTGGGTGGATGGATGGGTCGATGGATGGATGGATGGATGGATAGATGGATGGGTGGGTGGTTCCTGATTCATACTGGCTTAGTTTGACAGAAGCCATACAGCAGAGGCTAAGGAATTAGGATAATACCATTCAAGGCTCCCAGCTCACAATGGAGCAGATACTGGGAAGCAAAGAGAGAAGTTTCAAGCTATTTGTAAAAAGAGTCCTTAGCCTAAGAGTTTTGTATGTAGGCTTAATCTATTGTTGCCCTTTAATTCTGGTGTTTGGTAGCTGTGTCTCCTAGGCTTTACACAAATAAACAATGGTTAACATCCCATGAGTTAAATATGATGGTCACGTTCATTCAGAAAAAAAGTCCTGATTGATCCATGCTTGGTGCACCATTAGGGAGAAGGGGCCTGTTCTTGCCAAAGTGGTATGAACCACAAGCATGAGGCCTTCTTGGGACCATCTGTGGAAAGGTTTATTACCTTCTAGACAGGGTGTGTGGGACCTATTTGGTGGCAATTTTCTGATGAGGTCCCTGCTTATGAGGGAGTGAGCGGCATTAATATGACCTAGAAAACACATTTAGATCTCTTCCTTTTGAGCAAGGCTTACTCTATTAGATATAGATGCCAGTGACTGGGAGAACCTGTGTGTCTGCCATGTGTTTCTAGAGTCTTAGTGCTGCTGGTAGAGACACCAAAAGATGGGTTCATGCTACAGAGTCCTGAGAAGAACACAGCCACTGTGGCATCCTAGTGCTAAAGAGTGCCAGGCCCGACACATGGGGAAGGGCCTAGGCCTGGCCCAGGAGCTGTGTGGAGCTTAGGGAGGAGGAGAGGGAGAAGGGATTGACATGTGAGGCAAGCTTGTTCCTAATTTGAACTAATAAAATAAAATAAAAAAATAACTTGGAAAAAAAAAAGAGTGCCAGGCCCAGGTCAGGCATCTCATGGTCCTGGCAGTAACTGAGTGAGGTGCACCTGTTACTTCACCTTCGGTCCTGTTGGAGCTTCCCATCTGTGCAACAGACACAATGCTATCTCCCTTGCCAAGTTACGTAGGCTCTTGTAAGGATTAAACAATGAAGGTGATTCTCTTCTTCAGTATTATGAAAGAATAACTGATTAAAACTCTATCAAAAACATAGCATTTATGATTTGAAATTCATGTATATTGTGAAATAGTTGCCATGACTAGGCTAGCTGACATGTTTATTATCATACATGGTCATCTTTGTGTGTGTGGTCTAAAAACTTGAGGTTTAGTCTCTCAACAAATTTCAATTATGCAGCTAACATGGTGATATTATAGTCAGCAGGTGATTTTTAGACTGCTAACTGCTAAGTACAAGTGTCATTCCAACCACAATTCATTTTTTGATTTTGTTCTTTAAGACAGAGTTTCTCTCTGAAACAGCCCTGGCCATCCTAGAACTTGCTCTGTAGACTAGGCTGGCCTTGAACTCACAGATATCCACCTGCCCCTGCCTCTCAAGTGCTGGGATTAAAGGCATGAACCACCACCACTTGGCCCTCTGGTCACAACTCTGATTCACACTCATGGAGTAAGTACTGATGAGATGGTTAGGGGCTCTCTATGTCTCTTAACACATCACCCAGGCTTCTTTTCCTTCTTTATGAGTTTATGAGAGAAGACTAGTCACAACTGGTTTCAAATTGAGTTGTAATAGAATCCCAAGTGTGAAAGACAACACAGAAGGCTGTGGGGGAAGTAGTGGCCTCAGAGGAAAGCTAAATTTCAACTAGGCCAGGAGAGCAAGAAGTCAGAGTAATGGGATGTAGGGGAATTTTTAAACCACAAATCTAGCTCCAGAGGACTGTAGAAAAGGGGAGAAGCGTGGGGTATAAGGGATCAGGGTTGGATGAAGGTAAGTGCACAGCACTGGCCTTGGGTTTCATTGTGATCCTCAGAAGACTTAATTGTCTGCCCAAGTGTAGCTCAATGGGTCAGCAGGAGAGAGGGCTATGAAATTTTTCTCTTTGAATTCCATGTATTGTTAGGTATGATTATCAATATCCCATGTTGCTGTCTCTGTGCATAATTAAATACAGATTGCCATATTTTTCTAGTTCTTAGAAAGTAATTCCATATTTCTCTCAATGCAGTCCATGGTCTACTATTCTTTGGATAAGTGGCACTGTGCAGTACCCAACACATAGGTGCCTGATGATATGTTAGCCCAGTGATCTCAGCAGAGTCAGGGTCCCTGGGTCTTCAGGTACAGATTCAGTCTACCTGCAGACCTCAGGGCGGGATTTCCCAGAGTAGGCAGGTGGAAGTTGGGCCCAAGGCAGGGGTCAAAGCAGCTCCTGTTAGCCCTTCTTATCTGCAGATATTGCATTCCTGGATTCAACCAATCCCATGCTTAAAAGGTTTAAGAAGATCCAATATACATATAGACTCCTTTCTTGTCAATAGTTACTAAAAAGTGTAAAGCATTTTATATGCAGCATTTACAATGTATAAGGTATCATAAGTAATTTGTAACTAATAATTATATAGGATAATGTATGTAGATTATATTACATAAGGAATTTGACCATCCACAGTTTTGGCATCCATAAGGAGTTCCACAACAAATCTCCCTTGGATACTGAAGGACAATTGCACTATGAATAGAAATAATAAATGAAACCACCCACTCATAAATATAATGTCATGCCTGTCAAGCCAAAATTTACTGTGAATTTTTTTATTCAGGTTATGAATTGCAAGCATTTGGACTGGGGGTAGGGAACAGAATGTCTTGACATTTTACTATACATAAGACTTTCAGTGTTGTTTCACAACTAGCCTGGGGCTAAAATTCTGAAAAGCTTAGACAAGTGATGTGCTCGTATCCTTCTATCACATACTAAAATATACTGACACACTTGACCTTGAAGCAATACTGCCACCCATTTGCTAAGGTAAAAATAAGACAAAAATTACAAACACCTTTATTCAGTGTATTTCTGTTTAATGTTTCATTTAATTTTACATAAGAATTTCCCCTTGGCACACACCCACAGCTAATCACTGAATTAACAGGAATCCAGTTGCAGAGAAGGACGAGCGATGAACAAAGGAGTCCAGACCAGGCTTGTGAAATCCACAGAAACAGCTGACCTGAACAACGGGGAGCTCTTGGTGCCCAGACTGAAAGCTGGGAAACCAGCATGGGACTGATCTAGACCCCAAGAATGTGGGTGTCAGTGAGGAAACCTCAGATATCCATGGGGCCTCCTATAGTAGATCAGTACTTATTCCTAGCATAGGTGTGGACTTTGGGAGCCCATTCCACAAAGAGGGATACCCTGAGTGAGGCCATCTGTGAGATGGGCCTAGTCGTCCATACTTTCATTACTAACTGTTCTTCTATTCCTGGAAGTTGGGGAAAATATTTACAGAGATAACAGTGGTTTCATGGGGTGGCCTTTCTCAGTCTTGCTTGTGTCTTGTTGGAGAATGACACATGAATGTAGAGGACTGTAAAGACTCCAAGCCTAGGGGTCTGGAGAGGGTGACAGAGGGCTTCAGAAACTTCCAGACCCAGAGTGATTCTGTTCAGTGTTGCCTTTGGAGTGAACTTTCTGCTGGGATCTTGGATGGTCACAGGCTGCAGAGAAGGCGGAAGCTATCTCAGCCTTGCTGATACTCCTTTGGTGTGCATGGTGGTTTGTGGGGAGTCCATACTCCACATTAGATACAGTGAGGTTGACTTGGTAGACTGTGAAGCCCTTGTTCCCTACACTCTCCCATTCACATACATAATGGAAAAAGCAAAGGTCTCCTTCTAGGAGTTCCTGATCCAATCGGGTGACAAAAAATAAGAGGAAGGGCCCACATTACCCTTACCTCTAGTCCTGAGCCTCTCCTGTATCCAGCTCAGGTAGGATCTGCTCCAGGAGGTAATCATACATTCTTTCCTCCCTCTTTCTCCCTGCCCTACAGGTTCGGAATAAATTGCCTCATCCAGTTTGAAGACTTTGCCAATGCCAATGCCTTCCGTCTGCTCAACAAATACCGCAACAAGTACTGCATGTTCAACGATGATATCCAAGGTACATTTTCACCCACCTAACAAAGTCATTTGGTAATAACACTTTTTCACAAGGCTCACCCAAATGCCAAAAGGGGGGGCGGGAGGGTAGTTGTCTCATAACTGGTTTGCTGCCAGAAGCTGTTAAAGAAACAATATTAGACTTGGAGTCAACTTCCACTTGGCTGATCCTTAGCTCTGTGACCTTGAACATGTCTCTCCACTTAGCTTAGCTTTGGTGAGCTTAAGCACCAAATGGAAATCATTTCTATTTCAGAGGTAGGTAACAACTGTATGATTTCATATCTATAAGAAATTCTATGTACTCCTGTCAATTTTTAGCTACCTGGACTTGGAAAATCACTTCTCTATAGTTTTTATCACCTGTTTATCACCATAGTTTTTATCACCTGTTCTGAGAGGACAATACCTACATCAGGAAAGCACTATAAAGATTTCAAGACCCGGGGATAGGAGGCTGGAAGCCTCAGTGGGTAAGTGGCATTTGCTGCCCAAGCATGAAGATCTGAGTTTGGATTCCATACTCACACAAAAAGCCTACTGCACATGCCTGTAACCCCAGTGTGACCGATACAGGAGGATCACTGGAGTTTTCTGACTAGCTCCCATTTCAATGAGAGGCCCTGTCTCCATAAAATAAGGCACAAGTGATACCCAATGTCCTCCTCTGCTTCTAGCCATACTGATCAATATGTGCATACATCACACATACATGTACATGCACACAGAGACAGAGAGAAACATGCAGAGAGGGAAATCTTATACACAGAAAATATTACTCCATAACTTGTCAGATCGAAATGCCAGTGCTCATAAAAATAGCTTTCTCTATTAAAATTCCATAGCCATAATATCTTGCTTGCAGACTTTCCAAATACAAGGTGCATCCCTGTCAGAGAGTCATGGCAAATCCTTCCCTAAGCTTGGCTGAGAGTTATAAGCTTGAAAGACACTGGCAACCTGAGACACAGAGCATTCCAAAAGTCAATGTAAAGCATCTTTTAACTCCGTGTCACTTGGTCACCTGTTCTAGAGCCTTAAAATCCCCTAAAGGAAGTTGTTTCTTGCTTTGGAGGTTCCTGTATCAGAAGTTGGAACAGAACAGAGGCCTCTCAACAATGCTCTTACTGGCCCAGGAGATCTCATGAGAATGGTTCCTATATTTTTATAAGGCCCAAGGGAAACCTTGATGGCTCCACATATCTTGTTACTTAACAGATGAAGTTTGGTAAGACAAGCCTGTTAAACTGACAGTCCACACCAGATGAAATGGAATGGTCTCATTCTTGAGTAAAAGTTGACTGACATTCTACAGCTGATTCCTCATACACCCAAAATGAAAACAACTCATCAAGACAGGGATATATGAGAGAGAACATAAGCCCATTTTAAAGTTTATTGCTGATTATTTGTGACCTACTAGGCACTATTCTAGGAACTGAACACATCTAATCCTATAAGATACTAGTATCTTGGTCTTTTGAGTGAAGAAACTGAGTCACAAAGAGAATAAGTAACTTGCTTACCCAATCAGTGTCCAATTGAAGGTTAGTTCAGGTATCCACATTTATAACCATTTAAACCATTTACCATACTGCTCAAAGTCTAAAACCATAAAGCCAAGTGCCTCTTTTCTTTTGGTCCATATTATAGGATAACAGGAATGTGATAAATCATTTGGGGGGGATTTGTTGTGATATAATGCAGTTATAGCACACTGTCAGATAATTGAGTTCAAACGTTATTGCAGGGCCTGGTGATTGGATGACCAGAGAAGGGGTGACCCAGAGAAAAAGCTTAGCTTCTCAGACTGTCTCTCCAGTCCCCTGATGCCCCAGCCTGCAACAGGCATCAGTGGGCTGTTTCAGCCACATCCTGACAAGCCAGGTACTCTCCAGCTTCATAGTGCAGTCCAAGAGGACTAGCTGGAGACAGAAGAGCATTCTCTCACTGCCTGCCAGTCAACTCATAGCCAACCTAACTGGCAAGCGTGTGCCTGTGGCCTTGGAGGAAGCACCTGCTGACTAGCTCCCTTGTAATGCCACTCACACATGAGTCAGCAACAGGACAGTCATGTTCAGAGTCCCCTGGACTGCCAAGTGGAAAGCAAGTCCATATGGTCAGCACACCTGGTACACAGGCTCCAGATGTACAGTCAGACAGATAGACTTATAAACATAAACATGTTATAATATCCTCATAAACATGCACAGGAACACAGCAGGGCCTGGCTGTCCATCCACCTCCATCTCCCCCACACTGATGAATACCAGAATGTTCCTCTAAGGTGGAAACAATGACTCACTTTGTTAGCCATCCCTTTGTGAGAAACTTTACACTCATTTGCTGAAATACATGGGTTGGGGAGCAAGGACCTCTTTCCTGTCCTCCAATGGTCCCTTCAGTTTGTTTGGTTGGTTTTTACGATGAAGTCTTCCAAAGCCAAGACTGATCTAGAACTCCTATTCCTCTCACCTCTGCTTCCCAAGTGCCGCAGGTACAGGAGTGTGCCACCATGTCCAGCTATTTCCCATCACCTTTACCTGAGGAATTCCTTTATCCTTCAAGACTCAGCTCAATGGGTGACCTGCCCAGAAATGGTCTGGTTTGGGTACCCACCCAGGTGCTCTCCTCCATTTTTTCTTACAGTGGTCAATTCTACATCATTATAACAAATACCTGAGAAATACAGCATAAAGAAGGCAAGATTCATTGTTGTTCACTTTTGGAGAGTTTTCAGTTCATGGCCCATTGTTTCTGGGCCCGTGATGAGGATGAGTATCATGGAAGGAGTTGGGGCAGAGCTAGTTGCCTCAGCAACAGAAAGTACTGAGAAAAGAGCAAAAGGGTCTTGGGACCAGATACATTCTTAAGATGCATGCCCCTGACAACCACTTCCTAATTCTCATCATTTCCTAACACCCTAACATTCTGAATTCATCAATGGACTCACTGGTGAAGTCAGAGCCCTCGTGATCCAGACTGGATCTACCAGCAAGGGCCAAGATTTCAACATGTGAGCTTTTGGAAGGTGCATCATATCCAAACAATTTCACTCTAGATGATTCCATTGCATTCTCTGCCTCTCACTAAATGATAACCTTCTGGAGTCAGGAACCATGGCTTACTTATTTTTGATCCCCAGTTCCCAATGCAATGATTGGCACATTGGATGCATGAGGATACATGATAACTACACATATACAAACAGAATTATCATCGTCATACCTGTTCCTGTAGGGATGTCTATTCTGGTCCCTGCCTTGCAGCCTCTCTCTTTCCTGATCATCATACATATGCTCACATACAAATGCACCTCACATGTGCTCATACTCAGATTTTAGACTTGTATACACATGTGTATAATTTCATATGATGAGCAATTTTAAAAAAATAAGTCAATTTGTTTGTTTAAGTTCTGAGTCCTATCTATAGACTCTCTGACAAAGCCAGGTAGAGAGTTTTCAAGTTCTCACAAAAAATTTAAAAAAATGGGAGATAAATTTTCTATTGTTTTCTCAGACATTAACACAAAAGACATGAATTTAGGACTCCCAAGAAGAAATGGGAAACAGAAGAAGAATGACAGGAGTTCTATAAGATCATTGCTGCCTTTGGTGATCACGGCCTAATATGTAGATGTGCCTTATAATTAATCGAAACATGAAGAGGTTGACATGCAGATCTCACAGTCCTGCCCTGCCCAGGCTACCCGCCCCCCATCTCATGAGGAAATGTGTCTAATCATTCCATTCCTGTTCTGGTGTTCTGGACTGAGCTCCTAGTGGGGTTAGTTGAGGCTGAGGTCTACACTGAGTCTCTATATGGTTCTCTGCCTCTGTCCACACAAGCACAAGCTTAAACAGGCATAGTCCACCCTGCATGATGTGGAAATTGTCTCAGAATTTTGCCTTAGAGCCACATACTGAAATAACCAGAACCAAGTGGCCCCCATGAAAATGAGGCTAGAGCCATGCCGCCAGCTTTAAGCATAAGCCCTGCCTCATACCCCCAGTGGAACAGGGAAAGATGGGACCACGGTCCACAGGAGCCCCCAGGCTGAGCTTCCTGTGGGCTCCACTGTGTGTAACATCAAGCACCTTATTTGTACTGTCTGAATCATAGACCCCCTGGGGCCCACAGGGTTGAACTCTGAAGCCAGAGCACAGAAAGACTTCCTTCTGTTTTCATCCTCTGCCCTCACCCCAGCTCTGGCTCATAGGAATCCTTGACCCAGGCCAGACTGGTTCTTGATGAACAGGGCTGCCGATGCACTGACTCATTGCTGGCAGCCTCATCAGGAATTTTGGAACAGGGAGAGGCTCAGGTGACTTTTGTTGTTTCAGCTGGGAACTTCTCTGCTCTTGGGGGAGAAGAGAGAGGCAGAGACGGGGGGATGGTAGTGGGGGTAGTCATGCTGCGGACAGACTAATTTTGACCTTAGGAAGGCTAGCTTGCATGAAAGGAATCAGGTACAGAACACCGCTGACCTAGTGACCTTGGGCCCTGACTTCCATTGCAAGCTAACCACATGGTGTGACTGGAGGACAAAAAAGAATTGGCTCATCAACTCCAGAACACACTCCACCCTACCAAGTTTACCCTTGCCTCTAGTCCTTCTAAATCTTCAAGGACAGACAATCTGACAGGATGCCTGTATGCTATGCCACCCCTTCACAATTTTTGTTTGATTGTTTGTTTGTAAGATAGGGTTTTGTTGTGTAGCCTGGGCTAACCTTGGTCTTGAGGTGATCTTCCTGCCTCCACTGCCTTCCTACTGCTTGGGATCATGAAAGTGCATGTCCCTAAGCCTGGTACTCTTCCTTACTTTGAAGCTTCAGTGTATGAGCCAGGGTAGTTAACAGACATCCATCTGAGTAAGATAGCTCTAGCTCCAAACATTCATTTTTCTGCTCTGTGATTCTATCCAAGTAGTATATGTTCTCCTTAGTTAACAGACATCCATCTGAGTAAGATAGCTCTAGCTCCAAACATTCACTT